AAACCTTCTTCTTACCTCCAATCTCTGGCAAAATATTCACTAGATGAAAAGTAGCTTCAGTGCAAAAATGAGAGCCTGTGTAGGCTGTAATCTCATTTGTTAAGACTTCAGGTAAGGCCCTGTATCCCAGAAGCTTCAAGCTAGTTGAAAAGCCTTGCAAGTAAATATTTTAAGGAAACAACTCAGAGAATCACATGACAAAACAGAGTTTCTAAGAATCTTGATGTCTTTGTCCATTGTAGCTTCACATGGGACCAACATAGAGAAAATCATAACTCAAAGAAATGGATAAGCATACCTGTTATCTAAGAGAGTAAACAACAATAACAGTCAAAAGCTCACAAAATTTATGAGTATCAAATTAAGGGAAGTACTGCTGTTTTAGACTAAAATGCAAACCTGTATGGAGTATCTGCCCTGGGAAGGTCCAATGGTCAGCAGTGAAAGTCAGAAAGCCTACTCCAAACTGATGAGGGACACATTCCAGCAGGCTGAGGGATCCGTACAGGAGCCAGGAAGTGATGCTCAAAGTAAGGACCAGAACTCTCCCGCAAAGAACTACAACCTTCATCATTGAAAGTGAGAACAACTGAGTTCTTATCAGGAAAGCCAGCATAATAAAGCTTCTCTGTGAGAATCAACAGTACAATGTCTTCCCCTCCAGTTTTCCTTATTTGTTGTTGGCAGGAATCCTCTGGTGGACCACCCACACCCAACACCATCCACACCGTGCTGTGTGCTACAAATTGACCATTCGTTAGTCTACCATAACCTGATTGTGGACCCCTTTCATTCTGGAGCATAGATTAGATCCCACTTTTAACTGATGCAGAAAATACTGATCCGCAAAACCCTAAGGACATTAAAATGGTTACTTTTTCACATTACATGTTGTAATGGTTTGAAATCCAACAGCAAACAGTTCTATCAACTAAACATTTTCACATAAATATTGATATAGGACACTAAAGATCTAGAAAGAAAAAGCATTGCGATGGATACATAACTGTGGACATCATCAAGACAAACAGTAGTTGAAATAGCAGGTAAATTAAATAGCTTAGGCAATGTGATTGGGAAAAGCATATAAATGATACTAGAAATGAGCATAAGATACAGCCAATTGAGTAATTATATATAAACATTTTATTATATGTTAAAATATTTATGGATATTGTATTTGTAAGGAAGAGGCAATTTTCTTTTCTTGATTTGAAAGAACACAAATGATTGCCAAGAAAAATAATGCTTGGAGGGACTTTGATGTTTGCATGAAAATTCACCAAATACAATGGCTTAAAGTAATGCAGAAGCATCCTTCCTAGGAACTGTCTAGAAAGCATGGTTCGTGCACAGAATTTGTTTCCTCTTTTATAATCTGGGATCCTCAGTGACAATGTTTTCTAGCAACAAGCTATGGTTCTCAGATATAACTCAGTTTTTATCAATGTAAAGTAATCTTAAGTGATATACGCCATTGCTGGGCTAGAAATTTAGGCCATTTGCTTGTTTGTTTGTTTGCTTTGTTTTATTTTCTTATCTTAGAAGCAAAATATGAGACCCTGAAGCTTGCGATCAGCCAAGGGCCTGAATCACCAGTGTGAAGATATTTGTGAGCTAACCAGAAATATCCTCATTTTACAGCTTCATGAATTAAAAAAAAAAAAAAAAAAAAAGTGAAATTCTGTTTACAAAAGCTTCTGAAAGGTTAGTACTTATTTGTAACACCACAGTATTATCCTCATTTGCTATTTTATTAGACGGATTCATTTGTGACATTAAAGAAACGTAGAAAGAAAGATTGAAATTTTGGAGGCATCTAATGTACAGAGCCCTATGTGTTCCAGATTAAACTGAGCAAAACTTCTCAAAGACAAGTACCAGGGGATTGCTGTAATCCAAATTGTCTTTCCAGAATTAGCACAGAAAACAATTTAATTGTTTTTGATCTCTGCTTTTGCCCATTAACACAGAATATCATTATAATTCAAGGCCTTTTGCAGTAATTTGTAACTCATGCCTTTGTCATTTTTATCAGTTTCCAAGTGCAGAGTACGTGCAAGAAAGGATCAGAAATATCATTTTTAAGGGAACATACATACAGTGAACTCCTAATACCCTCCCATATTCAGGGGCTTCTGTGCCACAGAAGTCAGATTCATTGAATGGTAAAATAATAGCACTTTTTCTCCCTCTTCACTGAACTTATTAGTGTGTGTCTCTCACTGTGAAGAAAAAGGAGTGAAATGTAACCATTTGATGTCTCTATTGTGTGTGTGTTGGTGTGTATAAAGGAAGAAAAAAGATCTTCAAGTGTCTTAGCTATATTTTCTACAATGAGACATATTACATAACTACTGCTTGTTGAACTGTAATTATAACAGAGCCACCTTTATAAACATGAATACAAGGAAAACTAATTAGCCGCTGACAATAAGCAAATATTATTCTCTTAATTAGATCTTCTTCTACTGGAAATCCTGCTTTGTTCCTGCTACTCCAGTGTGAATGGCATTTGAATCATAACAGTGTCTCACAGAAACGGTCTTTCAGGGATGAAAAAGACAGCGCAGTGTCACAGTCAATGAATACCTTTTCAAATCTTTGCTAATCTGAAGTCAATGAAACGCTACTCCCCCTAACAGCTGCTTTTGCTGATTTGTATACCGCATAATTACAGTGGAAAGTTCAGGCTGCACATTTTTAGTATTCATATATTTTGATAGTGCTTTTGTCACATATTATTTTCACATAGCTGATTACTATGAAAAACTGAACTCTGAGTTCTGAGGAAGGCACAATGCAGTCCAATGGTTTATCAGTGTTTGATCTCTTATCTCCAAAGCTCAGTCTTCTTATCTCTGTCTCTGTCTCTCTCCCTCTCTATGTCCAGCTCTGACTTTCCCTTCTTCTCCCCAACCCACAAATGTCTGCTGAGCACATGTATTTCCAAAGAATGATATGCTGAAAATCTGTAGAACTTTTTGTCAGTAGAGTGTAATACCTGAGAAAATAAATTTAAATAAAGAAGGATGTCTTTTTTCACCACTACTCAGAGGTTAAACGGATAGTCAGTTGGCTTCCTTGTTTCTTGGCCTGTGGTGAGGCACCAACCAGCACACGGTGGGGAAAAATCTGCACAGCTCATGGTGCCCAGGAATCAAACACAGACAAGAAGGAGCCTGGGGACAGAATCCATGCTTAAAGTAATGTCCCTGGGATCTGACTACTGTCTTCTAGGGCTTACCTCTCACAGTTTCCACCACCTCTCTGAAGCCCATTACTCTATATCAGTCAATGTATCATTCCATTTGTGAGATCAGGACCCTCATGATCCAGTCACCTTTCAAAGATCTACACCTGAACACGGGTCTATTAGCAATTAGGCTTTCAAAGCAATAGCCATTGGACTGAGCCTTCAAAACATATCAGAAGGTCCTACTGTGTGTAAGGTTCTGTGATGGGAGAGAAGAGAAGGGTGCATTTTCCTGGAGAGAATTTGCTCACTAAAAACCACTAACCATCACCTTGTGAGACACATGCTGAGACGTCCTCAGGGGTGGGTGAGGACCATCTTCAAGAGCTTTGCATAACAGTCGCACATCTCTTCATGAGACCAGAAGGCAGAATCATGCTATTATTTCGGCTTAGAATGTGATTTTTAAAAAAGCAGGTGTTAAGAAACAGCTGAGCTCAGACATGCATAAAAAACAAGAAAACATTATTTTCTTTCCTAAAGGACAAGAAACAGTGGTGATTTGATAGTCACATATCATGGATTAAATGTGTGGGTCTGTAACTGTGCCTCAGATCTCAAAAATGCAAAAATGATTTTCTAAAATGAACAAATTGTTCCTAATTTTTCTTTAACACAGTAGTATTTGGTTTCATTGAATGATGATATAGCTAAGAAAGTTTAATGGTAGAAATTGAGCAAATACCCCAGTAAGAGAAACACCAGTGACTCTCAATAAAAATATAGTAGACATACTTATTTAAATACCTTGAAGTAACTCTTTATTATCTATAAAACTGTTATAAGATTTTGGGTAGTTTTGATGATGATCGAATGGTATCACATTGAAAATAGCAAGTAGATTTATGGTCAGTATAAAACATTTTTTAAAAGTTTTGTATATTATTCTAGGACCCATAACAAGCATAAAATGGAATATGATGTAGTAAAGATGATCAATTAAAATGATATTTAATAATTTATATTTTATAATTTTTACCTGAAAATACCAGATTTACACAGTTTATCCTAAAATCTACCCTCCAAGAGTATAAAATTTAATGCAATTGAGAGTAGAATTTATCAGTATTTAGGTTTTTAGATGGTAATAAATATAATAACAGTGAAATATACCATAGGAATATAGAGGAAATATTGTATTTATCTGGGAGGAGGTTGTATTTTGGAAGTTTTCTCACGAACTTTTCATGATTGTCAGGTGGTAAGGCAAGAGAGAGAAACAGAGAATATGCAAATACCAAAAATCTTCAAGACATGCTGATTGACTTATATTCATTTATCTGATGATACATTATGCTATTTCCATAGCTTCTAAAATGTATTCTTCAAAAAATGCAAATCATTTACATGTTATATAGATGTATGTAATTAGAGCTTTACTGGAACCCTAATTCTGACAATTTCATTGGTTTGCACACTGTAAGATAATTTAAAAGTAGCTTTACATTTGGTGATTTTATATCCTACCATTTCGTACTGTATTTGGGCATATATTTTACCTACCTAAGTCTGTTTACTAGTTATTAAAATGTACATAATCATAGTTATCTGAAGACATATTTGTATGCAATATATGCGCCTACATACATAAAATAATGGAATGTGTGGACAAAATTTCATCAACAAATTGTAATGCTTCTGTCTCACCATCCATGGAGAGGTCATTTCCTTTCAAGACTGGAATATTTTACTCTACTACTATTATTCAGTTATACTATTGTTAGAGAAGTGAAAAAATGTTTACCTTGCCATCTTCTAGGAATGCTGCCATTTTATCTTTTTCTCATGGTTTCTATGTGAATTTGAAGAAAACATTAGCCTTTTCTTCCACCTGCTCCATCTCTTCCTGAAATGTAATTTATATTGTGAACATTCTTTTTTTTTTTTTTTTTTTTTTTTTTGGTAAATAGTCAGAGTTGCTATTTATCATTTTAAGTGATGAGGAAAGAAAGGCTTAGGAAACAGCCTGACTACATGGTCATCAGCAGAAAATAGAGCATCAGAAGTCAAAGACTATGTGGAGATATTATTCATACTCCTATGGTGACTGGTTTTTGATACCACCATTTCTGAGGCTCAGTGACAATAAAGGAGCTGAGAATTACTAGGTTGCCTCTTTAGTAGTGGAAGGAATGCGGGTATTTCTGGAGAAGAATATAGAACATTGAGCTCTCTCATGCAAATTCCATATAAAAGTTCAGGAGTCTTCAAATGTCCCATCTATATGCATTCATTCATTTGTGTGTATGTGCACATATAAGTGCACGCACAGATACACATATGTAAACATGTCCTTAAAATACACATGTGCATGCATATATATATATATATATATATATATATATAAAATCTTTTATTTACACTGATGAGAAAACAGAGGCTCAAATATTTACAGAAATTTCATAAACTACAGTGTTTAAGGAATAATGGAGGCCACCAAATTCAGAAGATTTCCACTGTCTAATGTTATAAGACTTATTTTGTAAATACAGAGTCTGCCAAAAAATGTATACACACTTCAGGAAAAATATAGCATAATTTTTTTTTTTCAACAGATGGTGTTATCCTCATGTGGGGGACCCTAGAGACTGTCATGCATCTCAGAAAACCTGCTACACTGCAGGCCATTAGAGAAGAAATTGAAAATGTATGTGCGGCAACTTCACTGACCATGGTTACCCAAGCAGCAGTTTACCATACAAACAACTGTCTGAAAGCTGACGGCCACCACTTTGAGCACTTCTCGTAATTGTAGAGGCCAGTGGTACCTTGTATTAATCTCATGATGTCTTAAATAAATTTAGTATCAAAGTATTTATGTTTGTGTATTTCTGAAGTGTGTATATGTTGGCAGACTATATATGAACTAAATAGCATTCACTCATTCTTTTAACAAATATTTACTCGGCATTTACCCTAAGCCACTCTCCTAGAATTCATACATTAAAGAATCTCATGGCCTTCCTTTTCAGGAATTCAGAGTCTCCTAGAAATGACACATGTAAACCATAAATACTTTGAAAATGATGTAAAAACTGTATGGAACATCGATGAAGGTCTTAGAGTAAGGTAATTTTTAAACTGGATTTTGGACAACACAAGCATCCAAGCCACAAGGACATTCCAGACAGAGGGAACAGCAGCACGGTGAGGAGGAAGGACACAGAGCCAAAACTGGCCGGGAGACATAAGGCTGGGATATAAATGCTGCCTGTCTCCGCTCTCAGCGTGCCTTCCCACTGCCTCCTGCTGCTCTCATCTATTTTCTCGCTCTGCCCTTCGCTGCACTCCCAGGCCTACCATCACATTCCCATTCACCCTCCTCCACCTCCTCACCTCATGTCCAAAGCGCACGGCTATGTGAGATAAGTGGGTGAGCAAGCTGCAAACTGGTAAGAGGAGGGGTGTCGGGGTGTCCTCCTGGAGCAGCAGAGAGGGGGAAGGACACAGCAGTGACAGGCTCTCAGGCCTAAGAAACTCCGCGATTGCCCTTTTCACCTTGAAACCTTTCCTGCTGTGCGTTCCATGGCCAACACGGAGCTTTGGCAAATGACTGAAGCTGATAGCGCGCTTTAAGCTGATTCCAAGAGAAAACGTGTCACAGCTCGTCAAATTCCGTAAATGAGAGAACAAGAAGGCAACGTACACATGAAAATGCTGATTATTTACAAAGGAAAATGTTTGGGGGGATAAAAAAGATCTTGAACAGTCATCCAATCAAGTATTTAATTCGTACACGTTCCTCAAGCAATCACCACCAGGTGATGCTAATTAGTCTGAATAGTTCACAGGTGTTACTCTGCAAGGAAACTAAATAAAATCAAAAAATAAATAAGTGAAATTTAGCTTTAACATGACCGCCCACATGACTCCCTAATACTCCGAGAATAGCCACTTTTCATTGTTTTTTTTTTTTAATTTAAAATCTAATGTGTTAGATCTGAAAACATTATAAACCTTGAGGAGTCATCCATGTATCCATGCATTCATTTGTACATTGATCTGTATGTGCATTAATTTCCATAAATCAGCTATCTAGCCTACTTTGAACCAGTACTGTGGCTAGCACTAGAGAGGTGATAGTAGAATAAAATATCTTCATCTTGCTTTTATTGGTTTACAATCTATTAGCAGAAAAATACAACAATTAAAATGCATAATTAAGTGATTGCTGTTTTAATGTCTCCTGTGGAGGAAACATCTACGCCAGTATAACAATACATAAAGTCTTCTTTCCTAAGGTACTAAAAGCTGGGATAGAATTGATTCCTGAAAAAGGAAAAAAGGAGTTGCACAAATTCCAGACAAAATAAACAGGAATGTTCAACATCCAAGATAAACAAAAACAAAACTCAGAAAGATTGTGTAATTGGAACTCTGAGTAAGCAGATCACAATAATAATCTGTACAGTGAAAAGGTATTAAAGTAATTCTTAAAGAAATGATTATTGCATTCTTTCCAATCATTTTAAAATATTTAAGCAGCCTACATCATCTGTGTCCCGTAAGGCTCATGACTGGACATGATAAGTTGCTTATTATGTTACATAGAAGAATCTCGGGTAGTTGACAAAAGAATTCTATCAAAATTTGATGTAAACATAGTAGAGTTTGGGACTACAAAGTTAGTGCCTTTGCTTTATTATAGGATGAATTTGTATCTAGATGATAGCACACAGTGGTAATTGTTCATGGTCTTGGATTTTCATTTTTTATTTTTTGTAAAATGTGACACAACTATTCATTATTTAAGAAAATTGATACATATTTACCAATTTAATCTACTTAGCAAGTTAAATTTTAGGTTGCAATGTAATATTTAAGGGAATCAAAATAACTGTGGAGGTGAAAAAAGGTTTATCTGGAGCAACAGAACACCTGATGTACCAGAAAAGTGAGCAGAAAACAGAGGAAGTTCCCGTGACTGGCGGCTTCCTGGTTGAACTGGTTCAGTGCTATCAGTGTTCACCAGGGATCATTCAGTCCCTGGCCTGTTCCATTTGCTGTGAGTTCATATGGCTGCTACGTCTGGAAGTTACAGCTGGTTGTTTAAAGACATTCCTGTAAATCAGAGTAAAAGAATATACTATCAGCATTCAAGGTGGCATAGTAAATAACAGCTTTCCTCAATGGAGGTGTCATTGTTTGAATCAGTCACCGGGTTTTGTATTAAGTTCAAATGAAAGATGCATGACTCCTCTGATCTACACAGTGTGTGCAGGAGTCACGACTTAAATGTGAGAGTATTGTGGTTTGTAGACATGGCATTATGTAATGCTCAATTATGTGTCCATTCCTATTTCGACGATATCTTCTGATTTACTAGGCGATCATTTCAATGATAGCAATGTTTCCAACATCTAATGTTTTGTAAACTACTTTTCTATAATTTTGTATCGATAATAACTGAAGATCAGAATCTTCCGTGGGCAACAATAGTCTATCAGAATATAAGCACTTGGTTTTCCTTTATTTAGTGCTTATGATATAACTATTTCTAGCCAATGATATTAATTTTGGATGAATGGCAGTAATATTGTATTAGAATAAATGTTCAGTTCAAATATATTTTCCATATTTTAGAGAAAACTTAAATTATGTATAGTCAGTAAAGCAAAAATAAAACAGGTATGCAGATGAAAAATAGTGAAAAGTTGATTTTAACAGAAAAATACAACATTTGGTATTGAACAATGAATTCCATCATTTACTGATTATAAATGGTCGTATCACATCATTTAACCATGCTGTGCCTCAGTTTCTTCTTCTGTGTTATGGGAATTACTGTTGTTTTGACTTCTTAAAGTCAGTTTGAATGTTAAATAAGTCTAGCTTATAACTGACTCAAGTGAAGGTAATTATAGTTGAAAAATAGTTAACCAAGGAGCTGGAGAACTAAGGCAGACTACATAGCAGATGATGAAAAGCAGCAATGAATTCTTTGGGCTACTCAATACGCACACAATACAAAAGAGGAAAATATTTTGGAAAAAAGCAAGAGTCAGCACCAAATGCAGCACAATTAAACTGAACGGTCCCTAGTGTTTACAAGAAAATCCTCACTCACAATTACCCAGACAAATCTATTCACTTAGAAACCCAGAGGGCTTTCAAGCAAAGCACACATCTTTTTAGAGCCTCTAAAACTATTTTTACTGTGATCTAAATTTTATACACCCAGCATCATCAGTAATACGCATCAGCAAGACTGCCTTCTCAAGTTCAGATTGTCCCTATAATCTACCAAGTGTGCCATTCAATTCAGCTCTGCTTGACTCATTCCAGTAATCATGCTGTAGGATGTATGAAAGAGGACTGAAGAGGACTGTCATAGCCCAGGACTTCGCAGATGTTCATATTTCTCACCAGCATTTATTTGGTTAAATTTTAAGCATTCTGTGGTCAAAAGAATCTTGCTTAATATTCAAGGCTATCTAATACTCTATTTGTTCATTGGATGGATTAGTGAATCATTATGTATTTAAAATAAACACTAGGTAAGTACTCTGTACCAGACAGATTGAGAAGCAATGTGTTGAAATTATTAAGACATGGGATTCTGCAAAGAAGCCTGATTTTTCCTTTCAGAATTACAAACAGTACCATGGGAGCGAAGGTGGGAAGAAAAAAAATCTTATTTTTTCCAGCACACCTCGTTATCAGATAGTTTGTGCATGTGCTTAATTATCTGATTTCCCTTTTAAGTAAGGAGGGCCTTTTGCAAGGATCTGACTTAAGTTAGAACCTTCAGATTTGAATAAAATGCACAATTAAGCCTGGCATGGTGGCAGATGCTTATAATTCCAATGTACTGGGAAGCTGAGGCAAGAGGATCTCAAATTCTAGTCCTCCTAGGAAGTTTATCAAGACTCAAGATTTAAATGAAAAAGACCCTTAGATTCAACACACACACACACACACACACACAAACACTCACAGAGTAAATTACATCTAAGAAACATAGTCACAGGTCTTTACTGAAAAGAGCCCGAAGTATGCAATAATAAGACCACACCAATTGTAAAAAGGTGTTTCTTCTCCTTTGGTCAAACCCTAAAATTGTGTGACCCTTCTAAATTGCTGTTAGGTACTTTTAGGATGATCCAAGTGAGTCATGTATAAACTGGTACTAAATTAACCTGGCCCTCATTCTAGTCTCTAGATATACAGAGAGGGTCCTACTTCCCTTTGGCTTTCGCTGTAGCATTATAATGCATGCCAAATATAACTTATAGTCTCTGCCAGTGCTGGTAAAGTTTCTTTATTCTCAGTAGCTATAACTATAATCTCCTTTCCAGGCTCATGTGGCACCCTCCTATGGAATTCTTTGTTGTGTGACCATAAATTTGCTTCTTCTCCTGCTTAAAAAAACATCAAAAAAGAATATCTTCTGGTATAAGCACGTTGAGCTGTGAATATACTTCATTGAATATTTTTTAATTTGCAGATGCTTTGTGTGTTTGAATTTTCAGACATTCTCGCTGTGTAGGCTGGCCTCCTTAAACATGCACTCCATCTAAAATGTTAACAAACTTAATTATCCCAGAAAATGCCTAAACCATTTTTTATAGCTCACGTTCTTTGAAAATGCTAAAGACGGCAATGAGATTAGAAGAAGATTTCCTCCCCTTATTGACCCACAGAGATGAGGCTACTTATGTGTAAGGTACCTGAATTCCTTTGCCATAAACTCTCACACAGGAAATGACTCACTATTAGTCACTCTATTATGCTAAGAAAATCCTGAAATTGGTGTTAAACACAACATAAATTACAAATGTGAGGTCTTGGCATATTTACCACCACTGTGTTTCTATTCTTATTGTATGTACTATCATAGCCATCTCATCAAGTGACTTCTGAGTGAAAGAATTACAAAAACTCACTCTAAAATAAACAATTCCTGTTAACTATTTAAAATAAGCAGATCTTGTTATCAGGTTAAGAGAAAAATAGACAAATATTCATTTTTCCTTTTAAGAATTTAAGAAAAAAATATTTGAATTTTTCATTAGACTTCCACATTCAATTAATAAAATATTTGCTATAATAACTAGATATACAACTCATGATCTTTCCTTTGCACGTTGTGAGAATGGAACTGCATCCATCTACCATTCTATGAAGCATGCATCAATCTTTATGCTTAAGCAGGGACAGAATGATGACATTTTAAGGTCCTGAGAGTTTAAGATAATGCAAGAGTTTGGCCTAAGAGTATTTAATACACATGTAAGGTTTGTAACTTACATATTGTAAGAAGCTGCTATCTTTGTTGCTAAATGCCAGAAAGATTTTAATGTCCCCATCTGTTAGTAAGTTTTGAAACATGGATTTTGTAACAATCATTGATTCTCCACAGTTGAGAATACATGGTTGTGTTTTAATAAAGTCTTAAAACTGGATCCCATTGGCTTCAAATGGCGATGAAATTTTCTATAAAAGCAAAGGTTTTCTATCCCAAAATTCTCCAGTAATGCTTTCTCTCCTCTCTTACCACTAATTAATTCAAAGTTCGTCCTATTTTTGGCTTGGATTCAGTAACAGTTGATTCATGTGTCAATTAGAGAAATTTAGAAGTTTAACTAATCTACACATCATGGGGCCAGAATCTTCACTTTGTAAACATTCTCATCCTATGCAACAGGAAGGTTAGTAGAGTGTGTGAGTGCTACATCCACTCTGGGGGTGGTGGGGGTAGCCTGTTTACAATATAAGGGAATAAAAGAGACTTGCCCTTCCGGTTTTGCTCTTATTATTCTTGCTGTTTTCTGATACTTTGAACTGTGACCCCTCTGCTATGCCACCCTGCCCTGGAGCCATCTGATTACAGGCTGATACACCTATAAACTGTGAGCTAAATAAACTTTCCTTCCTTAAGTTTGAATGTCAGGTATTTTGTCTCAGCCATGAGAGAAAAGTAACCAAGACAGAATTTGGTATCAGAGTAGTGGGGTTGTTGCTTTGACTATACATGACCATGTGGTTCAACAGTCTTAAGGACAGGTTTATGGGAAGAGTTTAGAAAGGTTCAGAGATGTCACCCAAAAGAACAGAACTGAAACATTTGTACTGTCTGAGAGACTCTGCTCAGAGCTCAGAATACCAGAAAAATGGAAAAGTTTAGGTTTGA